GAGGGGTTATGACAAGCTCTCCCTGCTGCTCTGGGCACCTCCTGTGAGCATCACAGTTGGCAAAAGCACCAGCTTTCACTTACCACACAGTTCAGACAGCACGCCCTGAGCTTCCCCGAGCAGCCGGTGCTCTCTGTGTGCTCAGGCCTGCAGAAAAGGCACAGGATTAACGTGGACTTTTCCTCCCAAAACACACTGGTGAGTCCTATGAATTCTATTTATACCACACAGAATCAAAGGTTTCTCATCGTGATGAAAAGCCTTTGATTCTGCACAGCAAAACCAAAGAGAATAAAGACTGTCAGGCCCCTCATTCCGAAGGCAGGTATTTCACATAAATGCCACGGAGAAGAAGACAAGAGGTGCTGTTTGGCTGGCAGATCTCAAAACACCAATCAGAACACTGAAACACTGCAGTAAAATCTCATTCTGCAACGGACTGCAGTCCTGGATTCCCTGCAAAGCCAAGTGCAGCTCCTGGCTGTTCTCACTACTGACCCTTCCAGCGCAGAATCCTCTCCAGGGCAGAGGGGAATTCACTCTCCAAGGCTCCTTCAGTACCTGGGCATCTCTGCTCAGGCCACCCCAGGGGAGCCAGGTAGCACTATTGGGCCTGTTTTGATGTCATGGATACTTCATACCAAAGTGCAACACATAAAGCCCACGCAGGCAAAACATCTTGTTGACTCAGGCTGAAATAAATCCCATTACAGAAGTGAAAGACTGGGTAGCCCTAAACTACTTCTGTTCCGTGGCTCACACGAGTGACAGAAAAAGGGGATGTACAGCACTTGATTCATGCTTTGGGGTTTGCCAAAGCTTTCTAGAGTGCTGAGTGATGCTCGTGGAGAAGCAGAATCAGTGACTGAACTGAGACACTGAGCGCTGTGTGACAAAGGACACTGGGCAAACCATCCTGTGCCAACAGGCTAGAGTGGAAATACAGGTTTTAGGCTGCAGCCAGAACTCACTCGTCAGACACCTCGATGGAGGATTTCTTGTAGCCACCTTTGCTTTTCTCCTTTTGCACTCGGAATTTCCTTCCCATCCTCACCAGCAGCAGAACGACAACGATGGTGGAAGGCAGAAACACCGAGATGGAGAGCAGTGCTGCCGAGGTCAGCTGGAAGGAGAAGCCTGCGGGGAGACACCACCATTCCAGCAGTGAAATACAGGGAAACAGAGGGAGCCTGAGCTCTGAGAAGCCTCTGGGACAAACATTCACCCAGGACTCAGCTCGGTGGCCTTCTCATGGGAAGCACAGCGCTGGCAGATTGGAGACAGCCTGCCACCAAATCCATGGGATTCCTGTCCCAAATCCAGCCCAGGCGGGCGTTTTAGATGCAAGGAACTACAAAGGAAGGCAGGTCACGACACAGTTCTATCAGCACGTCTGAGCAGCAGATTTGGGGCAGGTCTGGCACGCAGGGCAGATGAGGAAATTGAGTATTACTGACAGTCAGTGCTTGTGATGTGGGTGTTATTTTTAGGCCTCTGTTTCCTCCACGTTTAACTTGTTCCACTGAAATATGGGGAGCCTGAAACTGCTGAACAGAGGGGGCACTTTTGATTTCTGTTACCACCACAGCTCCCTCTGTCCCCTCCTGCCCCAAATAAATTCAGTATCTCTCAATGTATTGAGCTGAGAAGGCAAGGGGGAGGTAACTCTTGCTGAACTTTAACGTGGGACTCCAGGGAACATTTTCCACGTGATGCTCAGACCTCCAGGATCCCGACAAAGCTGCAGTGCAGCTCCATCCCACAGATGAGGCCAAGCCATGGAAAGGGAGCCTTACCCCTCTCTGTAACCACCAGCACGGTCTGGGGGATGTTGTGGTACACGTCTGGAGGATTCTTCACACTGCAGAAGAACGTCCCGTTGTCACTCATCTCGGGGCTCTGGAGAGCGATGGAAGCGTCACCGGTGGCAACATTCCCGACCCAGGATATCCTGTCTTTGAACTTTCCCACTGTTGTTGGGTATGGAATGGACTGGTAATGAAAAACCTAAAGGGAGGCAAGGGCAATAATTGTCCAATAAAACACTCGTGCAAGAAAGCAAAGAGAAATGCTTTTCGGGGTTGAAACCACGAAGGAACACACGTTAAGAGGTCAGAAAGAATAATTCCCATGCAAGAGAAATAAAGCTGCCAATCAGATCTTTACAGTCATACTGTATAGGGCTACAGTGCACAATGCAGCACTCTGTAGCAACCCCCAAAATTTATCTGCTTTATCATCATTGTGCTATTTTGCATTTACATGGAATATTTTTTTCTCCCAAAGAACGCCAAAGGAATTTCAAACGGGAAAGAAGGTGACCACGAGTCCCAAACCACAAAGTGATGCAGCAAACCCAGATGTTCAGCAAGCACAGAGGCCTGGTCAGACTCCACCAGAAAGAGCCTCCCTGCTCCACTTACTGTCTCCATCTGGCCACCAGCGAGGGGTCGGTATGTCCAGTACACCACGAGGCTCTCAGTGATGGGGGAACTGGATTTGAACGAGCATTTCAGCAGGGCTTGCTCACCAACCACAGCTCTCACTTTAGGACTGGCTTTAATTTCCAGGGAAAGAGCCTTGCAGACACCTGATGGAACAGGCACAAAAGGCGAGGATTAATTTCTTGTTACCAGCGAGGCACGGGAGTGTTGATGTCCCAAAAGTATCAACACAACTGCAGGTCAACCATAATTCAAAGGCTAAAGCAGGGTAATAATTACACCCTCCACAACGCAATTCGAAGGAAAGTACTCAACGTCCCAGGGCTGGGACCTGCTTACATTTAGACGTGGAGATAAAGAGCTGATAAATGGAATCAGCTGGCTCTCTGACGAGTTGCAAAGTACCGGCTTTAGGTGCTTTAAGATGCCTTTACTTTAAAGGCAATTTTGGCTCTTTGTGTCTCGCCACAGCTCCTGAATTCCACGTGTACCGGGGTCGAGAGTCACCCCGCAGCAATAAGTGCTTTTAGCTTTAGTTTCCATGAAGTGCAGCCACTCCTGCCCGGCTCTCCCGCACAGCGCTCACCGGAGCATCGCCCGCATCCCGCCTTTCCCGAACCTGCCGTTCCCGGCTTGGGAAGGAGGAGACAGGAACACTGCCCAGGAAGTTCTGCCCTGATGGTCGCACCTCATTCCGCTGCTGGGTGGGCTCCGAAGGAGGGTTTGTGTTTCCCCGCCGCTTCCAGCGCCCCGCACGGCGCGGCCGGAGGGACCCGCGGCCACTCCCGCCACGGGACGGCCCTTCTCGAGCCCCCCACCGCCCCACGAAACATCTACCAACCCTGGGACGGTCCTTCCCGAGCCCCACACCGCCCCATGGACCATCCACCACCCCCGGGACGGTCCTTCCCGAGCCCCCCACCGCCCCACGGACCATCCGCTGCCCTTGGAGCCGCATTCCGGTCGCTCCCCGCCCGGTTCCCACGCGTGATCCCCCCCACCCCGGACCAGACCGCGGGCAGCGCCGCTTCCGTGCCGTCCCGATCCATCCCGTGCCGTCCTGATCCATCCCGTGCCGACCCCTCCCAGCCCCCGGAGCGCCCCGATACCGAGCAGCAGCAGCAGGACCCCCCGCGGGAGGAGGCAGCCGGCGGCCCCCGGGAGCCGCATCCCTGCCGGGCTCAGCCGCGGAACATGGCGCTCACCTGGCGCAGGTGAGGGCGGGGCAGCCCCAAAATGGCCGCCCCCGCTGGGCACACCCGCGGGCCCGAGCCGGGGACCGAGCAGAGGGTCCAGACACCCCAAACTGCCCGGCCCCGTGTCAGGGTCGGCCCCTAAACGCCTCTTCGGCGCTTTTTGGGTGTAAAGATGCTCATCTGAGGTGCCTGGAGCTGTGGGGGGCGCCCCGGGTCACAGCCCCCCTATTCACCATCAAGGCTCTCAGAAAAGCGTCTTTATTTATGACACAGGGGGTTGAAAATAAAAACACACAGGCAGGTAACGTGGCTGGCACATCACAGGTTATAAAGCCATAAAGACACTCTTCAAACAAACAGGGCTCTGTTTTGATTTGGGGCTGGTTAAATATGACAAGTTTTCATTTGGGGCTGGTTAAAAACCGCTACAGCTCTACAGATTCCACTATCTGGGGTCTCCTTTGCCTTAAATCAAGCCTGTGTGAGGACAGGCCATGGGCTGAGTGCAGGTATGGGGTGTGCTGGGGGGTCACCTGGGCAATAAACAGCAGCTGGAGGAAGTGGGATATTGCTGCTGTTGTTGGAATGCCCATCCCCTGCTGGTGCAGCACCAGACGGGAGATGGACCTCACACCACCAAGCATCACTTGCTCAGGGATGTCTCTGAACTCAGAGACACTGCTAGACAAAATTTTGGGGCGCCTGTGACAGTGGGTGTAAGGCTGCTGAGAGGGGGAAAGAAGCATCCCAGCTTGGAGGGAAGGGGTGAAGGTGCTGGAGCCAAAGGGAACACGGGGCAGTGCTGGGAGCGGGAGAAGGAAAAGGAGGGGAGCCATAGAAGGCAGTGACCTCAACCCCCAGAGTTACAAAAGCCCCCAAAGCTGCGAGAGACGGATATGAAAACCACACTGACCAGTGAATGTTATCCCTAACAACAAACAGCACACATCGCCCAGCTCTAACAAGGTCCATTTAAAAAGTAGAAAAGAGATTTTAAAGTACATCTGTTGAAGCAACCGGCTGCTCCTCTGCTCCCTCACTGGTCAGTCTTTGTTTTCGTGATGTCAGGGAGGAAAAACAGGGCAACACAAAGGCACGTTGGGATTTTTAAGGTGCAAGAGTGCATCTGCTCAAACACTTCCAAAACCTCAGCTCGGTCAGACGTCCCGGCGCTTTGTTCAAATCTTTTGGCGTCTTTTCACCTCCGGAGCCACTTTCTCCACGTCCCGCAGGCCGTGAAGGTGAAGTTCCTTGTTCGTGGGGCAAGTTCCTCCTGCTTTGCTTTACTGAAGGGAGTTCACAACCCCGTGCAGTGTCGCCCTCTTTCCCTGCCAGAATTTCAGGTCGAGCAGAGGTACCACGCTGTAACTCAGCTTTGTTCCAACATCCCAAATTACAAGCTTTCACCGTCTGCTTTGGAAGTACCTAAGAAGAGAGGTTACAAGAGAAACAAACACTCATTAACTCAGGGGTTATTGCTGAAAACAAAAATAACAGAGGCAACTGCTGACCTCAGAAACCGAGCGGGTGAAAGTTGTGCTGAAACGTTTAAGCCAAGCCAGCGAATTTTGAAACAGTTCCAGTCTTCCTGCAGCAATTTTTAAACAATAAAGATTAAATGAATAAAAAAGCAGATTCAAAACTGGCAAGAGGAAATCAATTCATTCCTCTTTATCCACAAAGCAGGAATGTTGTGGGAAGCAGCAACAACAGCTTTCCTACAAATGATCCTCAGCCCTAGGGAGAAGTGTCTTGTGGCCTCAGCTCTTTCTGCTTATGGCACCCATGGCCTGTTGACTGTGAACAGCAGTGAAATACCTGAGGAAATCTGTCTTAGAAAGTCCCCAGTAACACCGAGACCCTAATTAGAGATGGGTACCTGCATTGTACACACCAATTAGACCTTTAGTCTTCTAATGGACTGGCTTCCATTTCTTCTCTCATCTTCAGGCTCTCCTTTTCTTTACTGTTAGCAAAAGAAAGGGGGGGGGGAAAAAGAAAAAAAGCCCAGCTCAGTGTCAGATACCCTGAGCAGCAGGATGCTCAGAGTCACACATGGCACAGAGGAGGAGTTACACGGTAAGACAGGTGTGTTACATGTATTGTGACCACAGTGCCAGGCCCAGGGGACAGTGACCACCTGCCAAGTACCACCACAGGAGTGAGGAGCCACTGTGAAGGGCAAGAGCCAAGTGAGGACTGCAAAGCTGGTTCGTGCTGGGGCTCTGCTCTGCCTGCAAACACTCGGCCAGTTATGGCTAATTGTGTTGGCAGCTTTGCATTGCAGATGCCCGGCGCAGCTGCCAAGCCCGTAATTCCAAGGAGCCACAGGGACACAAGTGACCAGCTTTCCCAGGAGCCCTTCCCTCCCTCCTCTGTCCTTACAGCTCAGTGTCTGACACCTCAGCCCTCTTCTGATGCGCTTTCTGGCGACGCTGTCGGCAGATGATCACAACCATCACCACGATGATCATCAGGACAGAAGCGGATCCGATGGCCACGGCCAGGAAATGGATTTCTGAGAAACTCACTGAGTGGAGAGAGACAGGGGAATGAACCAGAGGGGCACACGGGGTGCTGTGGTAGGAGGAAGGAAGCTGGGAACCTCCATCTGTGAATAGAACCTTTCCTTAGGCTCCTTTTCCCCCCTTGTATCCGTTGACCACCCTCACGCTTTACACTTAGAACCCTTTTTTCTACCACAATATTCCCGAACGTGGGAACTGGTCGAGTTCCCGACACCTCTGGGGGTGGTTCTTGGCCTCTCACCTTTCTGCACAACCCGGAGCCGCACCTGCCCAATGGAGCCATAAACATCTGGCCAGTTTGTCACCTGGCAGGTGAAGGTGCCGTTGTCGCTGGGCTGCAGGTTCCAGATGACGATGGACACGTCGTTACGCTCCACATTCCCATCCCAGGTGACCCGGTCCTTGAACCGCCCCGAGGGCGGGTTATAGGGCTCCTTCAGGTAGTAAAACACCTGCAGGAATCACAGGAACACGGAATGGCCTGGGCTGGGACGGACCTTGGAGATTCCTGTGTGCTGCAAGTCCCGCCAGCTGCGGGGTGTCAGCTGAGACAGGGCTGTGGTGTCAGCAGGCCACAAAATATTTCAACCCTGATCACCCAGAACCAAGCACGAGAATGTTCTCCAGCCAGGGTCTATAAACAGACCTCGTTGCTCAGATCAATCGTCACGGGTGACAGAGAAAAGGCCCCAGTGCCCATGGCTGGGGGTCTCAGGTGTGAGTGCCTGGAACTGCTGCAGTCACCGGGCTCACCCAGCGCTGGGCCTTGGGACCGGTTTGTTGGGTTTTTTTTGAAATGGAGAGCCAAGATGTCACTCACCGGCTCGTGGGAGCTCAGGTCCTCGGGCTGGAAGTTCCAGGTCACGGAGAGCTGGGGGCTGACGGGGCTGCTGCTGGAGAAGGTGCATTTCAGCCGCTGGTTTGTGCCGTTCACAGCAACCACCTCCTCGGAAGTGTAAACTTCCACTGCTGCTGCCAGCCAAAGTGCTGCAGGGAAAACACAGGGAATGATCACTGATTCGAGGAGTGAACTCATCACTGCTCCTTATCAGTGTTTAGTCTGAGCCTTATCTAGCCCTGGAAATAATTGTCTCAGGCACAAAGGTAGTTCCTGAATGGGCGATGCTGCAGATTTCTTGGGAAAATCAGTCCTGCCATTAGAACTGGACTGCTGAGACTCAATAAACAACTATTTCCCATGCTAGGACTTTCTTTATACTCTTCATACTTTCAGCACAATAAACAGCACGGTGAAAACTGCTCTTACTGGTGTAGGAAGGGCCTGTTAGAGGGTTAATAGCCCAGCTGGACAACTGCAGTCAAATATAGTCAGGCTGAAGAACTCTAGAGGAAATCCTCAAGGTAAGTGTGTCAAAGAAACATTCTCTATTAACCAAACCACCACAGCTGCTGCTTCAAAAATACGTGAGCATCGCTGACTCGATGCTGCCCTGAGAGAGGGACAACCAGCAGGAGGGGGAGCAGCGAGGCACAGGAAGGAGAAAAATGAAAAATAGGAAAACCAAAGGATTGCCGGTGAATTATTATGATTGTATATGAAGTTAATAATCATTCCCTGTCACTTTAGGAAGTTAACTTGCCCCAGTACGATTAAAGCCAAGAAAGCCTATCTAAGGTTGTAAAATCTGGCTTTATAATAAAGACGTATTTGAAAGTAATTTATAACCAAAGACTTCCTTCCAAATAATCGCTTATCTCAAAGGGGAAAATATTTGAAAACATTGACGGTATTCGCTTTGAAAAGCTTCACTGGCAGAGATCATGTTTCTCATCCAAAGATTAAGTGCCAAATCTTTTAAACTCCTTAAAAAAAGAGAAACTGTGGGAAATAAATCTGAAGTACTTTTTTCAAGACAGATTACATCCGTGAGCTGATGCATTTGGGAAAGGAGGACGTGGTAATCTGAAAATCCAGTGTTTTTATACAAACCACTGAAAATTCAAGCGAGTTTACTGTCAGCCTGAATTGTTGCTGTGTAAAGGATCCGAGCCCGGGGCTCCTGAACAATCCCTGATTGTTTAGGAACAAAGGTAGCAAAATAAAGGGAAAAAAAAAAAAAAAAAAAGTCCTGATCTAAAGTTCAGATTCCCGGCAGGAGAGAGAAAGACGCTGTAACCTGAGCTCAGAAGGAGCTCGAACACGCCTAGACCTGTTGGTGAAGAGGCTCAACCGTTTCGTGTCACTGCCAGCGAACCCCGGACAGAAAGAACCGCGGCACAAGTAGGGGGGAAAGGTCTCTGCCTTCGTGATAACGTCAGGGATCGGAAGAGGAGAGGCAGGGTGGCACCGGGGCCAGGCAGGGGCAGGATTCCTTTGCTTACCTGGGAGCTGCGCCCCAAGGACGAGCACAGCACCCGCCCAGGCGCGGCCGCGCATCGGGGACGCCCGTCCAACACGTGCCGGCAGAAATCCCCTTCAGGTTCTCGAAAACCGGGTGGAAGGTGGGTTTCTCGAAGTCTTCCCGGCACAGCAAGGCAAATTCCTTCCTCCCAGCTTGGCCCGCAAGGCAAGCTGAGTGCTGTTAGTGCTGCAGTCAGCACTCCCTGCCCGGGCCCCGTGGGAAGGTGCGGCAGCACCCGTCACTTCTGGGTGTAGAACAGGGAGATTCTCATGGTCAGATTAACTTCTTCTCCCTCCCATATTCCTTTGCTCTTTTGTGTTGCAATCTTTCCTCCTCCCAGCTTCCACCTGAAACCACTCCCCTCTTGGGGGAGGTAGTTGTGCTCCTGAAAGGAAATTTGCCTGAAGGTGTTTGTAGGTGGCTCAGCCGAGTCAGTAAGTGGTGACTTTCTGGGAAGGAGTGAGAAGCCAGGTCCATTCCTCAGGCCTCTGGGAAGGAGTCCCCTGAGGTGTGTGCCAGGTGCAGGACGTGGGGAGCCCTGGGGAAGGAGAGAGACTTGGGTGACTTGGAATGTCTGCCCTGGACCCGTGCCCCCAAATCCCCACGATTCTCACCACACTGAAGCAGCGCTGCCTTCCCAGAGGGACAGAGGGACGTGGCCAGGCAGCATGTTCCCACTGTGCCCGTGCCAGCATCCCTGCTGGAAATGGAAATTCCTTCAGGTTCTCGATAACGAGATGAAGGATGAGTTTCTCAAAGTCTTCCCAGCACAGCAGAGGAACTCTTGAGATCCCATGGGCGGTCTGTGCCTGCCCCAAGCCCGGGTTTGGAGGGATCGTTCCCTCCGAGCGGTCCTGGCCGGGGCAGGAGCCCCCTCTAGTGGGGCTCGGCCACTTCCACGCGGGATCTCCTCCAAACAGAGAGAGTCGCTTTAGATTAGATATTAGGAAGAAATTCCTCCCTGTGAGGGTGGGCAGGCCCTGGCACAGGTTGCCCAGAGAAGCTGTGGCTGCCCCATCCCTGGAAGTGTCCAAGGCCAGGTTGGACGGCGCTGGGAGCAACCTGGGCTGGTGGAAGGTGTCCCTGCCCATGGCAGAGGGTGGCACTGGATGATCTTTACAGCCCCTTCCAACCCAGACCATTCCATGATTCTTTGTGAGGCTGTCTGCAGCAGTCTGAACTTCAGACACACTCCCAAAAAACACTCACTTCCAAACCCAATCCCATCCCCTTCCCCCTGCTGCTCCCAGGGCAGCTCCAGGATGTCTCCCGGGGCTCGGACAGGCTCTGGCAGAGCAGCCACCCCTCGCTCTCAGTGACGTCCCGTGCAGACCTTTAGAGCCCCTGCACTTCCTGCCCTGGGCTCATTTCCCCGCACGTGTCCCGGGGCTGCTCGGCTGCTCGCTGTGTCAGTGGGAACAGCGATCCCCCCAGCACCGCCGGTGACACTTCTGGGAAAGGATCCTGGGCCTCTTTCCTGGCAGTGGGCCTCGAAAAGCCACCGTGCCCCCTCGCAGTGATGCTCCTGTGATGTGCTAGAGAAGAGCAAGACGAGGAGGAACACGAGGATGAGGCTGGAGCTGTCCTGGCCTCTCCTGGGGCTCCTGCTCTGTGCAGGTGAGTCTCCAAACTTCAGGCAGCAGGGATGGAGCTTGATGCAGTGAGATCTGTGAGGTCCTGTGGTCTTAGTTTTGTTTTTATGCTTTATCCACGCACTTTTCTTAAACCATTTTGTGACCATGACTCGGTGGGGTGTCCCTGGGTGGTGGGAATTTCCACCTTGCCCTTTTGAATGGACCAGCTGGTTTAGGATGAAGTTCAGAGGATCTGTAAAGACTCTAAAAAAAAAAGCCGGTAACAACGAGATAAGTTTGAAAAGTAATTTACTTAAGCCATAGGGCAATAAAACTACAACTACTCTGACAATGTGCTGCAAACGCCCACTGCTAATCTTTGGGAAGGTAGAAAACATCTGGTTTAGCAATGCCCTGCTCTTTTTTTTTCAAATTTAAATTCATCTCTATAAAGCAAAAAGCATCAGATCACCTTCCCTCCAGCCAAGTCCTGTGTGTCTGGAATTTCAAATCTACAATTTTTTACTTACCTAACTTTCTATCGACAAATGTCTTTAAAGGAAATCACAAGTCTCATCCACACCTCCTAAAAACGGTTTCTTTAATATTCCAGCTCTGGAAGCTCCCATGGAGCTGGTGGTTTCATACAGGACAGAAAAATCACGTAGATAAACTGTTTTACAGTTAAAATCAAGGGTCAGGGTCTCATCCTCCAGTGAGTTCACAGGGTTCTTGCTGCAGAAACCAGGGAGAATTTTCCAGGGGTCTTTCTCCATGATAATAAAGCACAGGTTTGGGGTGTACAACTTGCTGTGAGAACCCTTTTTCTAAACTGGGTCAGAAAATGATTCAAGTTTCCATTCTGTGTTAGTCTGTGTTAAAAATGGCTTCCAAGGGAAAAGGCTTAACTTCAAAACAACATCCTGTCCCACTGACAGAAGATTTCTACTGCCTTTAGCATGAATATAGGACCATAAACATCTCTTTCTAGCAGCTGAGTTCAGAAAGGATACCCTGGAAGTAGGAAAGGTGTGTGATATCAGTAGCTAAACTTAATTACTTAACACTGCTGAGGGCTGAAAACCAGATTGGGATATTTGAGTTTTCCCCTTGGTTTGGTTTCCTTTCTCGCAGGCCTGTCTGCCAGTGAAGAATTCCTGGTGGAGATTTCGGGCACCACGGTGACAATCACGTGTCCCTTGATCGAAGGGGACATAAAGTGGGAGTCACATGGGGGAAAAGCAGGTACCAGCAACGATAGAAAGTACATTATAACGGACCACGACAGCTCTCCTGCCAACCTGAGCTGTTTTGTCAACGATGGGAAGAGGCATCACCTGTACCTGAATGCCAGAGGTGAGTGTAGCTCCCTCAGTCCACGGGCTAAAGCCTGCGTGGGTCAGAGGAAATACTTTGGGGCGTCTCAAATGGCACCAGATACCTGCATTTAGACAACCAAATCTGCTGGTTCCGCTCTATATTTGAGTCTTCTGGACCACTGCTTTCCTAAGGGAAATTCCCCATCAGCAGGCTGGGAGGGAAAGAAACTGCACAGCAGTTCGTGCTGGGAATTATGTGGCTCTTTAAAACAAAGAGAGAAAACGTTCCAGCAAGGTAAAAACTGAGTACAAACAACGAGGAAAACAGAACAGATTACGTAAAAACGTAGTAAATCCTTTAGCACTTGGTGCTTTTACAGAAAGACCGTTCTTCCTTCTGACAGACTGAAGGTGAATGTGGTGATGCTGAGGCCCTTCCCGATCTGTGAGGGTCTGAGAGCCCATTTTTGGCAAAAGGAATCTCCCCTTTCCTTTCTGCTTGCTCTTTTCTCCTTGCCACCCAGAGCTGTGTGTCTCTGCTGGCAGTCAGCAGGTGAGGGAGGCCTGGGCTGTTCCTGCTGGGAGGGAAGGCAGCCCAGCTCTGAGCACCTCCCTCTCTCCTCCTGGCAGTGTGTGCCAACTGCGAGGAGCTGGATGTCCTGACGGTCACAGGGATCATCGCTGCGGATCTCCTCATCACCCTGGGGGTGCTGATCCTGGTCTACTACTTGAGCAAAGGCAGGAAGGGGCGAGCGAGCTCCGGTCCTGCCCCTCGGCCACGAGGTAAGGGCCATCTCAGGCATCTCTGCTCTCTGTGGTGGCCACTGGGCACTCAATCCCCCCACACTGGGAGGGAGCATCCTCTGCTCTCCCTGAGCTTTCAAAACCTCACCAAACAACCTCCTGCTTCCCACATCTGCCTCTGTGCATGGCATGGGAGCAGCTGCTTTGCCAAATCTCCTGCCCATAAGAACCCTTTTCCCTGCTGTGCCGGAGCCAGCCCTGCACGGCAGATGCTCCTGGCAGCAGTTGGCTCTTTGAAAGCTCTAAGCTCTTAATAAAGCCATGCAAGTTGGCCCGTGGGTTCATGGCATTGCCCTGGGATCATCGTGGGAGTCCCTCGTGCTGTGTCACCCCAGGGATCACCTCTGTGTGCCTCTGTTGCAGGTCAGAAGATGCAGCGTCCTCCCCCCGTTCCAAACCCGGACTATGAGGTATGGAGTGTTTTCCATCTCCCTGCTGGCTAAGGAGGGAGAGCCAGGTCTGGCAATTGGTAGCATTTACCCTTTGAAGAAGCATCCAGTCAAGCTCCAAGCTCCCCCAGGAATGGAGGGAAAAAGGTGTTGAGGGTGGAGCCCCTGCTCCTGGTGCTACCACAGGGATTTGGGAGCAGAACTGCAGCTCCCTGTGCTCTGCACACACCACACAGCAGCACTGCACCTGCTCTGCTGTGCTTTTCCCAGTGTGTTGCGTGGACTAAGATAAAGATTCCCAGACTAACATCTTTTTCCGTCCCACAGCCGATCCGGAAAGGCCAACGGGAAGTGTATGCAGGCCTGGAACCCAGGGGGTTC